AATCCGAAGCCGCCCATTTACAAACTAATGACAGATGAACAGCTGATGCAGGTGCTTTTAACATCTTCAACAATAACAGGACCGTATCACACAAACACTTATCATATGTTATTTCCCCATAAATCCGTGTGTGGTTCCAGGCTGTACAGCAGGCATCAGAGGAAGCGAAGAGGCAGCTGCAGATGCCTCCTGTCCTTCCAGAGAGGAAGCCCATCAATGATGTGCTGGCTGTGGATAAGATCCTGGATGGCATGGACACAGCTAAATATGCCTTCACAGACATCACCTACAACGTCCCACACAGGGTACGCACATACTCTAATTTTAAACTTTTACAGACGATTTCTTGGCCAGTACCTCATCCAAGATTCTGACCAAGTCAAGATGGTGTCTTAAGATGACGTAGAAATACTGCAAACAGCTGAACGGGCAGGGAAAATAATCACAGATGAGCTTGAATTCTTAATTTATGTCTAATTTCTGTACATAAATGTCATATGTGCACAACAATAGCACATTATGTGCATGGCTCATGATTATATATATATATATATATATATATATGCACGTTTACTTACTACAAGTACTGATTTACTGTTATTTCTCAGCAGTTCTAAATCTTGCTCTTCTATCAACTTGGGGCAGCTGTGGCTGAGTGGTTAGAGCAGTCGTTCTCCAATAGGAGAGCTGGAGGTTCAATTCCACCAGCAGTCACATACTGAGTGTCCCTGGGCAAGACACTGAACCCCTCATTGCCTCTGATGTGTGTCCCATCAGTGTATGAACGTGATAACTCACTGATGAGTCTCTATGTAGATCTAGTAGAGTGCTGTATGAGTGGGTACATGAGACACAGATTGTGTTGTAAAGTGCTTTGAGTATCTTGATAAGATTGAAAGGTGCTATACAAGTACAGTCCATTTACCATTTAAATTTAGCAGGTGTAAAATTAGATAGACTAGATGCAAGTTGGACGTGTTGGCAGGAACTTTGTATGTTTTTCAGCTTGTGCTGTTAGCTGCAGTGAAACAAAAACTTGTAAGTTGGTTAAATTTGCTCATTTCCATTCGTCTCCCTTGATATTTTTTAGGAGAGGTTTATAGTTGTTCGGGAGCCTGGCGGTACTCTTCGAAAGGCCAGTTGGGAGGAGCGAGACCGGCTTGTTCAGGTCTACTTCCCCAAAGAGGGACGCAAAATTTTTTTACCTCTCATCTTTAAAGAGGAGCACCTGAAGGTAAGAAATGGAAAACTGACTGTATTATTGAAAAAACAAATTTCTTCTCTTTACCCTAAAACTCCTGCCTTACAGTAGTTCCTGCTCACAGGAAACCTGCTGTGACAAACCCGCCAGCTCCTCATCTGTTGTAGAAATGAACTGATTCTGTTTCTCTGAACAGTTCCAGTACTTCATTCATGCATTACACTGGACCGACGCTCACGGCAGTTTATAGTTCATTTTTATTAAATAAAGTGTGTACAGTGACTTGAAAAGAAAGTAGAATATACACGTTTTAACTTATAAAGTTCCAAGTTTAGCACAACAAATAAATAAAACAATGCTTTTGTTACTTATGCAGTTAAAAAGCTGATTCATCAGCTTGTTGTAAAGACACTTGATGAAAGACTATTGAGGTCTTTTGTTCTTCAAAAATTCAGTCACAC